TGGTCAGTGGCCATCGGGACACCGTTAATTTCGAGCCCTGTTATATGCCATGCTTTTGTAATACATACTATAGCTTGCTGGGAGAGAAGAGAAGAAAAATGAATTTCATAAATCATGCCCATAGCCAGGATTTTGAATTAGGGGGTTCCTCCCAGTTTTTGAGGGACCAGCAAGCGCCTAGCCTGTGTATACAAGCTCTCGGCCGGAGGTTAATGAATGAATGAATGAAGACCTTTATTGTACGCAAATACCCACTGGGTTCAGTACAGGTCACAGGAAAGACGTCACAGCTTGCAATGAATATATACAATGTACAAGCTAGTGCTAATTCTATGTACTATGGACATATGTTAATGACCCCCACCCCACAACTTCGGGGCGGCCGGCCGCCAGGAGCGCGAGTAGTCAGGTTAAGCAAGCGCCGTAGACGCGGGGTTCCCAGGGGGGGTCCAGGGGTATGCTCCCCCGGAAAAAAAGAACCTTCTGAATTGGCATTTCCTGCGTATTTGAGATGAATTCAAAGAAAAAATCAGAGATAACTTTTTATTCCATGACAAAGCATGGAGGTATCCCTACCTCCATGGACAAAGTAGGCAGTATATACGATTCCAGTGGTGGAGAATCGTGGTGATCCGAATCAGTTTAGCCTGACTGAACCTCGCTTTTCGCCGGCTCCCCGGGAGCCCCCAGGAGCTTGGGCTTCATAGGCTAGAATCAATCCATCTAAAGAAAAACCTTGGACCTTTAGATAAAAAGTGAACCAAAAAGTGGACCTTTTGGCCTTGGACCTTTAGGGTTCTAACAATGGAGTTAGAAGATCCTTTACCTCCATGCTGTAACTCTGAAAAGCTGGCGGGCTCTCCTGCAGATGCTTGTCGCCAATGCTTCCAATATGGGGAAAAAACACACCACAACACAACGTACAACGGAATCGAAATAGTATCGCCCGCCAGCATGTGAGATAAACAGAGGAATTCGCCGGCAAATGCGCGTTCTGTTGAGCCCTGAAAGGTCGCGATGAACCACTTGATTCGTCCTCAGCTGTGCCCAGAAGAAGTCGG